TACCCTTTAGTCCAGATATTCCTGACCTTGTTTAACGATTGACCAAAGACACCTGACCTTCCGCACGCACAGTGCAGTCTGTTTGAATTTAATTAGTGACCTTTACTTTGTCATCGTCGCCTGCAAAGGTAGGCTATAGGAACACGCGCATATCGTTTTTAGTGGACGTTCAAACAAACATCCATAGAAATTTCATAACTGTCGTCTGATGCTACCTAATTTCCGAGTTTAATTATGACTGTTTTGTTTGTTTTGTTTTTGTTTGTTTATGTTTGTTTTGTCGGACTGAGCCCAAGTATCCCGTGGATTGCATATGATTCATGCAGAATATTCGTGGTTAATATGCTCTTGAGAGTATAACGGATTTACATGAGTGAATTCCTGTGGAAATTTATATTACGTCTCGAACGAGGTGTGATAGCCTCTTGTCATGCAAAAAAATTTCATTTACAAGCGGACAAGCGTAAAATTCTTTCTTGTGCCTAAAAATGTCTGAAACGTGTTCCTTTTCATTACAATTGCTTTGGTTTTGACCGGAAGACTTAAGGGTTTCAACATTGGAAAATTGCATCGGCTGTAACATGAAACAGCATCGTGCGGGTTTAAGTGTCTTACAATGCCTTTCGCATTTTTAGCAAAGAAGCCAGCGAGGCACAACTGAACGCCCGGTTATTCAGCGCCGGTTTCCTGAAAATTTCTTGAGTAGTTTATGTCGGCGTACATGTTTTGTTTACTAAGTCACCGAAGCTGACATCGACATTCAAAAATTAATTGTGTCGTGGTATTTTTACAACTCTTCAACGGGCCGTTACTCACAGATTTTCATGACACTTGACCCAGAATACTGTCCTATCGACCGTTTGTATATAGGCGTTTGATTTCAACAACGCTTTGCTCAGTCAATCAGTCAGTCGGTGTCCACAATTGCATAAGATAATCCACAAGATCTGCATTTCGGATAAAACTACGAACATTTGATTTGTGGGTTGCCTAAGTACTTCGACACGGTCTCGCCAGAGCATATAAAATTATTGCGAATTGGGTGTACAGTAAGTGACCGATCTAAAGCACGTTAACTGAAATAATCAGATGCGTTTTTATTGGGAAGAAGTATTTAGGCGCGGCTATTATACTGATTAATTTGCAGCATACACATTTAATGTGTGGGATTTGACAAGACGTCAGCATTTGGATACAATGCTTGCTCAGTCACCTGTAAAAACCCTATCCGATACAGATGACTAAATTAACAACAGGCATTTTCCCACGGATTTTTGATGGTCTTGCAAATTCAAAAATATTTTAAGGAAATTACAAATAAAAACATGTTTTATTTTAGATCTTTGATAGGATATCATGTTATGATTCTATTGTATACTCTTAGAAAAGTTATAATGATGTTTCAAACAAATTTTATAATTCCCAAATAATTTGGGACCTGGATAGTCATGGCATTAGCTATCAGTGATTTTAGTCTACAAGGTGCATGTGTTCCACATTAAAAAATAGCATATTCGTCTATGACTTCAAAAAAATACTACAAAAATTCGATACACTTTCGCAATGGATCCAGGCTCTGTTGCTCTTTTCATGAGAAGCAGTGGCAAACGTAGGAGTACGATACCATATGAACGAGCATTGCGCGGTCTCAAAAAATCTCCTAATTGGGAGCTTTTTAAAATGTACTTATATTTTTCTTTCAGAAGAGAATATAAAACTGGTGTTATCCCCCATCAGACAGTTAAACTAAACTCCGCCAATGTTTGTGATTTATGTAAAATGTATTTTAAATCAGTGAAAAAAATTCATGCTATTTATATAGTCATTTTTAACAAGCACTGTTATTACAGAAGGTCAAAAAGTCGTGTATTCAAAAGCTGACATCCTGTTAAGTCCGAAATATTATTGAATTATGTCGCAGGATAATCAGTATTACAAACAGACACAAGCAATTCTTTCTTATCAAAAAGCATTTCAGAATTTCACTCAATATTTAATGAGATCAGTCACTCATGGTACACTCCTACGTAGAACGCAGTAAAAGCCATGTGGACATTCATGCACTATAAATAATTTCGGTTTTGTCATACATAAGTGATCAGCCACTCAGAAAGTCTTTAGCGCATATGATGTTTTGCGTAGCACAGCTATTTTTTCGGAATTTCGCATCACTAAGTTGACTTATATGCCGCTTCAAAAGACGCTTTCCGGGTAAGGCAGACTATTTTGACGGCTAAAACAGAAATGGAAGTAGATACCTCTCACCCAGCTAACAAAGGCTGATCTGCGTATAATTCTGAAAAGGGCGAAATACTCCCGTGACCTAATACCAACAACAATTCTTATGTAAAATTAAACCTTTTTCATAATTTCGAGTACAACCCTAAGCTTAATCTTAACTATGCAGTTAACATTGGGTCCTATCTTAGCCTTGCGTCCTATCCTGATTTGCCTTACCATGCTTTATAAATGCGACATTAAGTCTAATCCTCAAAGTTATCCTTAACTTAAACCTTACCCTTATTTCCATAGAGGTTGATTCAAAAACATTCGTATTTCAGGAGGTGTCTCTTACAATCGCTGTTTAGGAGCCATTTATGCATATATCAGACTAGCCCTTTTCCTTATTATTTATTGCAAACGCCGACACAAATTTCTAACCCCTGCCCATGCGTCTGTCCTCTTGTCAACATTTACAGAGGATATTGATGCGTGTGGATATCGGTCTGTCAGAAAAAAAACAGATTTAGCCTCCATATGGTTTCGGTTTCTCCACAGTCCTATATCTTGGCGGCATGCAGATGACCATATTCGATATAAACTATATCGAACTATATGTCGAACTATATATAACCGACAGGGCAACGGGCTCGTGGCCCGGTGAGTAGAGGCGTTGACTTCTAAACCAACAGGTCGCCAATTCGAGGCTCGGGTTTTCCACACTTCGGGCTTGGGTATGGCTGGCTGACGACGGCTAATAAGCCAGAAATGGCCATTCCAGTCTCCCTTGTCTTTGTCGGTAATACCATTCTGCATATAAACTATTATATCTAGGCATTGTATGTGCAAGATGGTCTCATTTACGTCCCCGTTTTTGACCTTTTGTCCCAGTCGCGATGAATAAGCACGCCAAGATATGACAACCTATTGCATTCCGCCCAGACGACATGAATGCTTTCAACGCTTTAGGTAAACAAACACTTATGTGAATAGTGTCTCAATAAAGCGCTGCGCATTTGGTCTTCGCCGGACAAGACTGCTGACTTACTATTCGAACGCCTGGTTTCTATGTCGAGTATTAACAACCGGAGATTGGCTGTAACAAATTTGCGCGTCCTTATGTCATATCCATACAATATGGTTATATATGTGTGAGGGAATCATTGACAGATCTTGAGTAGCTGCCAGCATGGGCGAATATCTGTGTATACTGATGCTTTAACCTGCAAATATAGTTTCCAACTTTTCTTGGAACTATGTGTTCATATTTGTAATTTCCCTGTGAAAGATATGTATATCAAGTTAGCGAACTGCTTGTTTCATTGCTTTGTGTCCGGGAATACACATATTAACGCACAGCCTTTGCTATTCTGCATAGAGCGTAGAAGCCGTTTCTGGGCACCGTTATTGTTTTAAAAATGTTATGAAACAGGGTGATACAAATTTATATTAAATTTGCCTAAACTAACAATAAAAGCTCGACTTCTCACCACCAACATTTAGAGGGACAAAACCCACTTTGTCCCAACTTGACATATCTACCGTTAACTCTTGTAAGTGTTTAGTTCAAAGGTTTCGCAGGACTGTTGCGATAAACCACATGCTAGATAAACTTATCTAAATAGCTAAAAGTGTCTCTTCCGGTATTCAGAGCTTTTGTTTGTTGATGCGTGTAGATTTTCAGTGTTGTACAACATTTTTCGATCAGTTTAGAATAGCAAAACACAGCCAGCTTACCTTCAAACATAGGGCTTCTTTGATCAGTACATGTAACGTAGGATTGCTTACGCAGTCGACTTTGAGCCAGCATCCTTCACAGGCATAATCTCAACTTCTTTAAGTGGGTATTTTAGTGCTTGTATGACGTACCGAATAAAAGGCTATTGGGTGGGTCAAAATTCTCAATCGATTTCGGTGGCCGATATTTTTCTTGATTAAAAACGTACCCCGATATTCACTCTCATCCATGAGTTTACATGGTGGTTTAAATAAGACGCGTTAAACACAAAACCATTTATGACGTTCCTGAAACAGATCAAAGCCAAAGTTGCACTAATCCGTGGCATGTCTCCTATATTCTAATGCCTAAATATACGGCTAATTTGGGTACCGCCAGACTCGACACTTTGATGGAGACAGTTGATATATTTAACCGCAAAGTCCGTATGTGGCTAGCGGTAAGTATCAAAGAGGCTTCAGAACATTCAACGAATTGGACCAAACTAAGACCTGAGACATGCCGTTCGTCTTTTATGTATCCGCTCCAGGACACAATCCAAATCCTCTAAGTGTTAGCCTTAAAATATTGCTTAATCGAAAGAAGAAAGATAACACCGCCAAACACAAAAAAACTTATTATGCTGCAGAGGCTATTGAATACAAAGAAGGGCAAAGTACTCTAATGTGAAAAACCTATTAATGAAATGGGTTAATTTGATTTTTTATCTACCACTAGCAATATGCACTTGAGCAAACTCTTTTCTGTGTTCCAGATTGCTCATTACCATGAATGAAGTTAAACTGTAAAAAGAACGATTATATTGCTGTAAAACAACACAATTATACCATAAACATGTGTAGCATTCGGAATAATTGGAAAGTAGTGGACTGTTATATAAGGCAGTATAAGGGGCCTGCATCCAGGAAGGCTTGATATAAAATTGGCTCTGCTTTGGCAATGTATTCACTTAACCGTTGATTTGATGATCCCGCTGAAAATTCAGATGCATGTCGCATTTGACGCAGGGCGGCAGCGTTAACGTCTACAGTAGACAGACGAATCATATTAGGCAAACCTTGTCCACCTTCAAAGAACGTGTAGTCCACCACGGCATTTGATGTGACATTGCGCGCTGTATAATCCATGCTGCCACATCCCTCGTATACGCGAGAACCCAGCTTGCATAAAGAGTCCTAAGAACGCATTGTAAGAAGTTAATATCAAACCATGGACAAATTAATTGCAAATTATAAGAGCTCAAATGCGATTCGCAAAGGTTCCATTTAGTACGTAACATGTAAGAACGGTATTCATAATTAAATAGTACCTTGGGAGAAAAAGAAATTTGAACAACGGGAAACAATAGACTGCAAGTATACTGTACAAATTTTGCCGTTCGAACTCTCCTTAAAAACACACAGTCGATAACAGTCGCCTCTCCATCGAATATCACCGTCACACTCACGGTGAGCTCCATGTCATGTGCTTGGATGGATGTATGCGTAGGCATTTTGGACAACAAGTTTTCAACGGCGTAATCTAAATTAAGTTGGCGCCCTTGCAGTGGACAAAACGCATTTCCTATAGGAGAAGATAAAGTATAATTGAGGAGGTCTGACAAGCTTTTTGAGGATATCTAAAAGTCTGACTGCTTGCGATTTCATGAAAATGAATTAGTAAGAATATGACAAATTCTTCACAAGCTCCACAAATGAGATTTAGTCCGATTACTTTTGAGATTATACGTGATAAAAATGAATAATGAAACCGCCATTCCCACTTGAGCTCCAGCTATAAACATATCAAATAATGAACATAAACCGTTAGGACATTTTTGCTTTGCTCTAAAATGCAGCGTATATTTCATATTCTGTCTAATTATCCCCATTTACAAGAACGTGTCTAAGGCACTAACATCAAAATACGGCTGAAGGCTGGATATTGAGGCACTTGTATTAACAAACGCAATTTAAGACTCAAATCGTTATCTGGCTAAGATCCTAATACAAGTGTACTGTACCCTTAAATATGCATCAATAAGCACTTTACTGGTCGGTTGTCCGATTGCCATCCACACGGTTTTTGGGAACAATCGAGAGATGGCACCAAAAATATCCGTTACCTGGAAATAATACCTTTAACAGTGAATTCAAAGGCCTTCAGGCCATATCAGCGGTTGCAGGCCTACTTTCACGCTTTACTTGGACTTTCCCCGATGGCCTTACATGGACTGACCGAATGAACATCGCGGGAGGCTACATGGACAATGGTCGTTCTTACCCACATTCCCCATAGTTACACACATACACCTGAATATACGGCATAAATTCGCATTATGGCAGTTTATTACAAAACAAAATCAGTTTTAAATAGGAGAAGTCTGCACAACATGGGAAAGGAACAGTTCCCAGGCATCTGTCAAAGACATGGCATTGAGGCCAAACCAAAGACGATACTGTACTTCGTCTACGTGAGCCCACACAGCTCGACCACATACAGGGTATCCGTCGTTGAGTTTCCTTTTCGGCCTTCTCCAGTATGCCTCAATGACATTGGTGTACTGTCCGGTTGCAGTGTCCTTGAATTTATTTGAGTGGTTAACAGAGAAATGTAGATAAGCTTCTGAGGGAAGACGATTATACGCCTTCTACTCGTCCATTACCATTATACCCCCTTTGGCGACCTATTTTGTAATAACGGAACGGAGAGCGGGCCAACTTTGTTCATTTTCCTGTACAAATAAGGCTTTCCGTCGGCTAGTATCGTACATCCCGACCATCCACCAACTATAAAACCCCTATTACCACCTGTACCGTAAGTCAGGCTGCTTTGGTTGCCCGGATTTTTTGGGTGCCATCTCCCGATTTTTACGCGATTTTTTTTATAAATGAAGTGTTTTTTCAGCATTTTTGAATGAGAAGTGTACAGTAGATGTGTTGTCTCATAAAATGTCAACCAAAATTTCGAAATTCCTTCTCATTTCGAAAAGAAAAATTTCGAAGTGTTGTAAAACTAATCACGATGCAGCATGAATCTATAATTATCCGGTTACAACGGGGTGTCGGCTTTCGAAAGAACTTATTTTTGGCTGCATGCACTATCTATACTCTGCAAAAAATGACTACTTAAATAGCATGCAATTTTATCATTGATTTTCGATGCTCTTGAAAATTCCATTAGATTTCACGGAAAACATGCATAAAAACATTCATTCTTTTACGTATTCGGTAAAAAGTCACGTTTTCTTTCTATTTCATACTCAACCGAAGAGTATAATTCATTTTTAAAAAGGTTTCTAATTGTGAGATTTTTAATACGGTTAAATGGCCGTTCATGAAACGTCATGTATCTCAATTTACAATGTTGCTTGGAAAGTAAACAATATTGCTAAAATCCCTTGCTTAATTTTATGAACCTCATATGGTCTCCTCTTAGTACCGTAGAGAAATGTATGCAATATTGTTAACTTTACAAGCCACATTCGCAAATGCAAATACATGACGTTTCATGAACGGCCATTTAACCGTATTGAAAAATCTCACAATTAGAAACGTTTTTTAAAACCAAATTATACTATTCTTTTGAGTATGAAATTAGAAGAAGACGTGATTTTCTACCGAATAAGTAAACGAATGAATGTATGTATGCATGTTTTCCGGGAACTCTAATGTAATTTTCAAGGGCATCGAAAATCAATGAGAAAATTGAATGCTAGTTAAGCAGTCATTTTTTGCAGAGGATGGATCTTGCATGCAGCCAAGGATAGATTCTTTCGAAAGCCGACACCATAAGATAACTGGGTCATTATAGATTTATGCTGCATTATGGTTAGTTTTACAACACTTCTTAATTTATCTTTTTGAAACGAGAACGCATTTCGAAATTTTGGTTGAAATTTAATAAGTTAGCACATCTGCTTTATATGTAAAGTCTCATTAACAGCAGCCATACTCTGTCGAGCAGAAAGTAGGGTAAAAAAAAGAGACGGATCTTAGTGAATTTTTGTAAATGTGTACCATCCTTAACTTGCACATAAGGGTCATTTTGCGAGGATGCAGAAGAAGAAAGGCAGCATTCCTATAAGTCATTTTTGGGTAAACATAGGTTCACTTACGTCTAAACCAATTGCACCCGTCTAAAACAACCATTAGGGGAATTAGCGTGCTGATCAACATGCGCATTCTGGCATTTGAACAGGAGCAGTCCTCATGTTCATTTTTATGCGTTCCATATCCTATCATGTAAAGGGGGTAAGACGCATATATCACCCTTGTTCGCCACCGTAAAACATCTTGGAACGTTGTCTTGCTGTTAGGCAATAATTTAGTCACAGATTATTTCAATCATCTCGGATACGCTGTTTCTCGAATATCCCTATTGGGCCTCTCCAGTCAATGTCTTTATAGATAAGCTGGAAAGATTCCATCTTAACGACCACATCGACAAGCCCAAACGTTATGTTTACTGTTTTGTCGACGTCTTTGCAATTTTAACCGTAGAAATCTACACCGCTATCTTCTTAAACGTTGTAAATTGGGCACACCCGTCCATTTAATTCACATTGGAAGTGGAAACTTGCGCTATGATCAGATTCATAATGTTCTTTTAGGCAGGAGACTTAACGGTAGAGTCCGAAGGATCGTCCGTCGGAAGACGACCTGGTCTAGACAATACATAACAGTTGCCAGTTTCTTGCACATCAAATAAAAGGAAATATATTTTGATGTTTGACACAGAGCTAGAAAATCAGTTCGGCAGATGAAATCCAGTAGTCGATTAGACTAATCCAAGACCTGCTTCGCGACAATGGGTGTCCTGACAAGTTTGCTGCAAAAAAACATTTTCCTACAATCAGTGAGACACACCGCATCGACTGCTGGTAGATAGACCCTCTTCCTCAAACTCCCTTTCCACGCGGAGGCTGCAAGTGAACTCCTAGGGAGACGCCTTGATCAGGCTGCTTGGTAAACCTTCCTAGCTTCATTTTCTACTAACCGTATTTTACGCGGAGTAGGTAAGGATAAATTGCCAGCTCAGACCACCTCGATGTTCCTCTATACCTCCATTTTATCCTGTGGAGCAGGTTGTACTGGTCGCACTAGTCGACGCCTGTTAAAGAGAATATGAGATGGTCTGTCGGCTGGGCTGAAACAGATGCAACTAGGTTATGAAAACCAATTGTGTGCGCACAGAGGAACCTCGTTTAGTCTCCACACCAGTAGTGATCAAATGTCAAATAAAGCTGTAACTCCCCGTGCTTTTCAGCTCTCATCTTGCCCTTTGGCCTTAAATTCTATTACCTCCCACCGCGCCCTAAATTTTTCCACGTCCCGCCTGTGCTTTTAGAGGCACTGCACTTGATTTCTCTTATCAATGACATTCTGTTGCTTCTAACCTGTTTGCATACAACTGCACTGGTCTGAAGAGACTTTATCGGAATCAACATATGTACGCCACCGCGTTTTCTGAGTACCGCTATGAGAATCTAGAGTTTTTTTAAATGCCAAAGCTTGTCTGCTAGTTTTGTACGTCATAATGATCTAGGACCACGTCGAGTTTCTTTGCTCCTAAATGAAGATTTTATGTCATATACACAGCATCATTGTCCGTCCTGATAAACATCGGTGTTACACAATCATTTAACAAACAATCAAGATATTCGTATCAGATGTTTACCATTGTGGAGCGTTCTGATGCGCCCTGTAGAGAGTTTCATCTATAGCGTCCCAAATATCTCTCTTCTGGATGCTTTAGTTCATTCTGTAGATCTTTTAGTCAGTGACGGTGCGATTACGCACAATTGCAGCTCGTCTTTAGATGTCACGTGTTAGTCGCTCCTCAATGCATATCTCCGACTAAATAAAATGAAATGCTTAACACTAACAAGGAATGTGTTGCTAGTGACATGCGACTTTCGTCCTCGATACCGGCGATGGAATAGTATATGGCAATTATGCCGTAAGAGATAGGAAGAAGTCTAGTGTTGCGTGTAGGTGCCATTGATATGCGTACCTAAGATGCCTGCGGCGATGCAGGACAGGGTGTGGTGATGGATTCTTGACGTCTTTGGATATCAGGAGTGAGTCGATCCTCACTGTATACAGTAGGTGGGTTGACCCACGAAATGTTAACAGAAATTCCAAAATGCACTTTTGTCTTGAAAAGATTAATTTAGTTGTGTTCTAAGACATATTATCATGCAGCATCATTCTATAATAGTTAAGTTTTGACGGGAAGTCGCCTATCGAAATAACTTCCTACCGACGTGATGCAAAACCTATACTCTGTAAAAATGACTGCTTATTTAGAATGCATTTTTCTCATTGATTTTTAATGTCCTACAAGTCCAATCAGATTTCATGAAAAACGAGTATATATATATATATTTTTTTTTCGTTTATTCGGTAGTAAATTAGATCGGCTTTCAACGTTTTTACTCAAAAGAAGGGGATTTATAGGTTTTATAAAAGTTTCCGATTGTGTGGTTTTTTAAAACCAGGAAATGCCCTTTCACAAAACGTCATGTCTGTGCATTAACCGACGTGGCTTGTAAAAGTCTGAATACGGCTCAAATCCATTGGTACACTTTATGAATTTTATATAGTCTCCTCTTAATATCGTAGAGAACGATAGGGTTTTAAGTACGTAGAAAATCCGCGGATCGTAATTTGCAGACCCGAAATGTAAGTGTAACGACATACTGGGTTCAAATTATGCTAGAATTCGAAAGGTGTTTGAAAGCCGCATTATACCCTTCTTTTGAGTATAAAATGGAAGAAACACGTATTTTCTTACGAAATACATAGACGAATGCATATTTTTATGCATTTTTCCTATGAAATATAATTAAATTATTAAGGACGCCGAAAATAAACGGGACAAATACATTCTAATTACGTAATCATATTTTACACCATGTGGTCTTTGCATGATGCCGAAAAAAGTTATTTCGATAGCCGGCATTCTGTGGTTACCGATTTATTATACAATAACGCTGCATGATGATCCTTCTTACAACCCTACTTAATTAATCTTTTTAAAACGAAAACGCATTTTAGAATTTTGGTTGGCATTGCATGAGTTAACTCACCTACTGTATCTCCGGCTAAATAATATGGCAAACTGTTTACTAACGAAGGACTTGCTGCTAGTGAAATGCGACATTCGTCCGCGATAACGGCAATGGAAAAGTGCATCGTATGCATGCCGTGAGAGATAGGAAGAAGTGCAGTGTTGCGTGTAGGTGTCATTAATATGCTTACCTAAGATGCATGCGGCGATGCAGGACACGGTGTGGTGATGGACTCTGAACAGCGCTGTTTGCCGAATATATCCATGGAAATACATATGACCAAATAGGCTCATGCACTGTCCGAATGTCATATGGAAGCGATTGCGGGCACAACAGGTATGACGATTAGGTTTCAGTGCCCCTGACACCAGTGGTATCGGTGAGATGGGTTTGCAAGCGACTGACTAGGCGCGGCCTAATTCATATTTAAGATGGCGTCGGCTGAGCCGGAAGCGGTAGGAGAGATTTTGGTCTTGTTAGTATTCACCAGTATCAGTGTGTTGACCTCACAACTGACCAATCAGACACTCATAAAAACCTGTGGTCGCATTGGGATTAGGTTGAAAGAGAGTTTACAGGACTTCGGGTGTCTTTCATCTTGTAGCCTTTTTTAATGTGACTTTGCCCTACTGTTATCTGCGCGTACGCATTCTGACGTGAAGCGCAAGCCACGTGAGACAAAATAATACAGAACAGACGCATGGTTGTCAATAAAACTCACTCCGCTGGTCAAACATCACACACAGCAGTGGGTTAAATCAGCGTAAATTTATCTACCGAGGTCCGAATCGCAGGCCTTTGAAATTATCGTAGGAAAATGAGAATAAAAAACATCAAAGTATAATGCGGATGCACATTTGCTCAGAGAAGAGAAATAAGGGCTTAAGTAGCCTTGAATCTATCAAAAACCTACAAAATCCTGATTTCAGAAATGAGTTCGGATCTACTGAAGGCCTAATAAATGGTAACGGCGTGCAAAGAATGCTTATTATACGCGCTAAAGTAGGTCATGCTTAATTGAATACTCTCCTTAACATGGCCGTTGATCGTCGATTTTTACACATACGATTAGGGGGGACTCCCATCTGACTTTCCATTGCATAAGTTACCATGACTTTAGCTCAGACATTTGAGAAACTGCTGTCAGTCTTAACTCCTTTATCGCGACTGGGTCGCTTATCATCGGCATTACAACATACTACTAGGAGGAGGCCGGTTAATCTCCCGTGAAATAATCCGCAATGTTCTTAGCTTAGAAAGTTGGCAAACGATCGCGTAACCTTGCCTCTCCATTAAGGACGTTGCAGTTTGCCCTAGAATTTCCTACCACTAGTTGTGGTGCGATATGTCGACAGAATCCCTTCGGGCGGGTCACTGATTGTAGACATCACTTCATAGCATTGGGACGACGCCAGACTTAGAATTATCTACTTTTTTGCTGTGATGTGATGCTTAGGCAGCATCTGATCAAATGGGTCGTTTATCATAGTCCGACATAGATGCAATTCGAAGATAGTCGGTTGGGTACGCATAAAATTCCGATCCGTGATCTTAGAGAATTCACAAGTGATCGTGCGACCTCTCTTTTCGATACAGGACACTGCTGTACAAACACTTTTATATCACAGAGAGGCCATCAATTGACTTCATTCATCCTTGGCGGACACTGAAATGCCAGCTGGCTTAAGGCTGACGCGGCTCGCTATATGATTAATCATGACGATACAATCAGGTTTATTTCCGCCATACCGTTATTCTTGAACAAATATGACTGATTATGAAAAAAAGGACGACAAAACTATCCCTTTGTTAGGGAAAATGACTTCAATTTTTTTTGTACAATACGTTTTACTTAAACTTATGTCATTTTCTTCGACGTCTACTTTCCCTCACAGTGGTTATGCATCTGCTGCGTAAGATAAAAAGACTTCCGGTGCTTCCATCATTTCCAGTGCATATAGGTCACACCACGGGCGCTATTGCGCTTCGCCAACATAGGCGCATTGGCTCGGCGCATAATAATTGCGCAGTATGTTAGCCAACTGTTCGTAAGCATAGAGCCGGTTATCGGGATCATTTTCGTTCGGAAACGGACCTATAGTAATACAAAGCCGTTCGAGGGGCACCGTCGGTCATGCTAATTCATTATGTTTATACACTGTCATGTCATTTCCGCCGGCAGTAATCCACTAACTTCTCCAAATTTATTTTTTCCATTATTTGATCACATTGAATTTGACGCTGCGGTTGACGTTGAGCAATTCCCTTGGCTTTTGCAGAAAAAGCGTGTGATATCGAGAAAAAAATATCGTATTGCGAAAAGACAACTGGCCAGATAACGTCTTTGGATTTTTACTAACTCGGAATAGACTACCAAAATATTTCCACGTCTACTGCATTCAGAAAAACTAATATCACACAGATAAAACGACGCAGTCTGCTATTGGTTTACGTTTGTGGTCATCCATTTTGCAAAACGTTCTGGTCGGATATCGTCGGCATAGCGCCCATGGTAATTGCACTACTGTTCAAAAAACTGAGTAATGGTCTCCCTTATCTTTTTGCGTTCATTCTGATTGGTTGGATTCGACTGTGTTACATTTCCTGATGCAAACTATTTATTAGCGGTTAACATAAATTGGTCCGCAAATCAAGCCTTTCATATTGTTTATTTTTTAAATTTTCCGTGTTGTTTTCGTTATTACATGTAAGGTTATTATACACGTTGATTCAAACTTTAAAATATTTACCGCGTTTCCCTCATCTTCGGCATTTAGTATACCACCTAGATGCTTCATTCGTAAAACCCCTATTACCGACTTTTCTGTATAACAGGCGACTGTGGCCGCCTGGAAATACTTAGGGGCCTTCACTAAATCCTTATTTAGATATGTTTTGTCACCTTATTTTCAGAAAGTAGACAACAGCACCTGAGAAAATCGTGACGTTTAGGCAAATTTATTTCAGACCGCATCTAATAAAACTAGCTAAATTTTCTATTATTCTGCCTAATAACCAAAATACAGTCTGCTGCAACAAGCTAATGCTGTAGGCTATCGCTCAACATGAATTTTAGCTTACATAATTAAGCAAATTTTGGCTATTGTTACCGACGCCACTTAGTTCTACTAGCGCTCCCCACCCCAAACGGACATTATCCAAAAGAATGCGTATTTTAAAAACCAGTACAAAAAAATTTTACGCTAAAGCACTCTTTTCCTATCAAATGAAAACGCTCGGGCAAATAGTTAATTTGTTTTTTATGTAATAGTAGCGACATACAGAACGCGACCTATCTCATGAAATCCGATAATGGAAGCTGATCAGAGAATTTCTGGACGCCTTTAATGTTGAGCATTTTGTTCGTTTATCCATTTTGCTCATAAAATGCCCTTCTCTTGTACAGCAAATGTGTTTACGTAATTGTATCAAATAAAATATCAGTAAATTTTAACGAAAGTGGACGTTGGAATATATATGTGCAATTTCCCATGATAGTACATGTCCTAGACTCCGGTTACGCATTTAAGCGGCTTTTTTATTGAAAGGATAGTAATTTACCCGCAAGAGTTTTAATAAACAGATTTAGCCGAACTTAAAAATTTATTTTATGTTTGATGTCCACCATGGTGATCAATCTGCTATGACAAAGGTTATTTTTAGAAAACTAGAGATTTTATCAACTTCTAAGTGTGAAGGTAGCGGACCCATGTCATTTGCTGCTCAAAAGTGCTCATATGGATTCCTTCGTTGAAGCAGGCTGAAATTCTTTTGCCGTTAGGAAAACTCTACGTGATGTTACATAGATGATCAACACGGAATGGTCATTTCCAGCTTTAAACATATAAAACACTACTTTTCGTGTAGGTAAGCTTTTGTGCATGACTTATAAAAAAAGGTGACGAGCAAAAAATTTGTAGTTTTAGCAAAATATCAGTATTTATATGGGCGCTTTGCCGTCCATTCATAATCGAAGAACGGAGTCTAAAAGCGAGCAAAAACTGTGGAAATGGCCTCACTGTATAGAGGAAGGTATGCTTTTGCGTTTACGGTAGAAAAGTATTAGTATTTCTTAGGAACGTGAAAGGAAGGGCCAAAAGTGTCACATTATTTCTTGGCATCGCAGTGAATAAATGCTAAGTACACAGAGATCCGTTAACGAAGTGCAGTAATAAAGCACTTCTTAAAGAGGTAACTTATTAAGGAAAGTTTTCTTATTTATCGAAAACAAATTCGTTGCTGGTATCGTGTGGGCAAACATTTTTCTCGAAAATGAAGTTTGAGGTTTGAATGAGTCTTCACATGTGACAAAAAGGACCATCTTCGTGAATAAGAGCGTACGATATCTTACTTATTCGGTAAATGCTTTCAAGAATAACTTTATTTTAAAGTTCCCAACAGGCAGGTGATTCGGAGTCTGCCTTTATGGAAGATCGAATGAAAACACTGAAAATCATGAAGTATTCAGTAATACATTGATATTTTGGCAGATTTTGAATAATTCATATTGACCCAACTGTGAAAAACTCGGCGCCTCGGTGGGATTCGAACCCACGCAGTAAGGGGGGAGGCTTCCCCTTACTGCGTGGGTTCGAATCCCACCGAGGCGCCGATATTTTCACAGTTGGGTCAATATGAATTATTCAGTAATACTTCGAGGCCCATCTGAAACTAATCATAATCCAAATCGAACGAGTGGTGTAACTTAATTTAATGGAAAATAATTCTCCCTATAAATACAAAATGGTATGTTAACGATCACGCCTGTCAGTTCTATTTAAATTTATCAGGCACGGACCCGCTTCATAGCACCTCACCTTACGAAAACGTTTGTTCCTAAGACGTCCACATCGGTGAAATCAAGCAAAGTCCAGCTTCTCTCGGTGAACACCATCTCATTTGCATCAAAGAAATAAAATTAAAACCAAAACACTGGAAAACTGTTTTAAAATCTAAACACGGAATGAAGGCAGTTGACAAACCGTCATATTTGAAATCACACTATTTATTAAACGATATTTATATGTAAAATTCACCAAAAACACTGTTATAAGACGTCATTTTATGTCTACTTTCATATGTACTATATTTTTGGTATGAAAATACATTCTATACATTTAGAAATGGAGTTTACCAAATAAGAGACATTTCTGACGTTATCGTGACAATGCGCTTTTCAAAGTAAATCGGAATTTCTAAACGACGCAACGCTGCCTACAATGTTTCTTCTTTGTTATAATTCCGTTTAATATGTACTTAATTAACATGGACATTTGACTCATGAAATGGTGTCGGGTTGCGAGTGATTGGCAATCATTCGTAAATTTCGGCACATTTCATGAGTTAGGTCACTAACTGTAGTTTCGGTGTAGACGGCTCTTTGTCCCCTATTTGTGCACTGGCGTACCCAACCAACACACAAAATGACTCTGTGGTAGATTTATGACCTCTTATCCCACATATTTGTCCTCACATAATTTATATTAGGAAAACACCCAAACATTGCCAAAAAGCAATCCACAGTTGGGTCTGCAATACATTTTTGACCGGTATTGACACTGCTGCAATGCCATTCACTAATATATTTTACACCGTCTTCGCATATCCATCCGATATGTTTTAGAGAGGGGCTTTTTGATGGAACATATGCTGCTCTACCAGGCAAATACATAATTCTGATTTATACAGGCGTACTTAGAACTTCCAAAAAGTATATTGTTTTTCATTTGGCTGCCTTCTGTCCGCCGCAACTGTAAATCCTGATTGACCTATAAATGCAGCACAATCTCAGATAATGCACATGTAAAAGGTTCGCCGGATTCATCTGTTTAGCGAGACCCATAAGTTACTGAAATTAGCTAATACGTCCAATTTGCAATCTCATAATGCAGTAAGACAGATGATGTACAAGTTTAGCAAAAGTAAGATAACCATTACACAAAACGGCAAAGGAAAAACAACAAACAAAATCCTGTTAAACATTATCGTGGTCATTATGGACGACACTAACAAAGAGACAAATTTGCATTTATTAATAAAGTCATTTCGTAAGCCTTCTGGTTTATCGTCTATTTAATGGGGAAAACGCGAATCATTTGCTTACTTGGCTGTAACGTGCAAAACGCGTCTACAGGTGGCGAAAAGTAAAATTGTCTCCAATGAAAATATTCGGCAAAACGTGGTTATGTAGCCCCCATTAGAGGGACACAAAACTGTTGATGATGATATTAGGTTTAATGGTTAGGGATTACGTCTGGGGGTAGTTTTAGATGTTAGGGTTGGAGGTTAGCGATCTGAGGTAGGGGTTAAATAGGGGTAATGATTTGGAGTTAAACATTAGAGTTTGGGCTAGGAGTTAGTTAATTTTTTTAACCACGCAATGTACATTTTCGCATTCCCAACCGATTTTCGTTTGCAAACATCTACTTGAACTCGTCCCCTGCGTGTTCCCATGTTGAACCTCAAAATCATTCATTATTACCGGTCACGTACCATAGGTGCCTGCGGTTAGTTTTGTTCCTGCGGGACGATATTTCCTGCGAAACCGATGATGATTCTGCAACACAACGACCACTGTCCACCATTAATCAGGTTTGCTAGCCTATACGGCCTTCATGAACGCAAAATTCGCGACATTATCAAGGTGGCTGATATGAATCATGTTTGTTGAGCAACGAACACGAAAAGGCCGAAATAACGCTCAACAGAATTATCGGTTATGAACATTAACGAGATTGTTTGGCAACATTTGCTAATGATGTAGGAAACGTTAAAGAACAGCTTTATTTCGAACATGCTCATGCTTTTAAATAACGTTGATAATCAGATAGAACTTTTCAACAGTGAATTCCAAACAGTTACCACGGTGCTGCTATATACGGCAATTAAAAGGTCCCGCATTAAGGAATTTTTGCTGCAGTATGTTTCGTAACTTTCTTATGTTTCCTTCAAATAGTTTTGGAAATTTTAATTTATACAGCAGCCTCTGTAAAAAAGCATGAAATCCATCCAGCCTGGACAACAGGACTACACGTGGGAATGGATTTTCCTCTCCCCAGTATGCGTAGTCAATCACGGCCTTTACCTTAAGGTTGTGCAGGCTATATGAAGCGCTCCAACAGCCTAATGCTAAACTGCCACTCAAAATACTAAGGAATTGCAAATGAGTCAGACGTGAGCATGGGTATGATAGCATAGTCATTTGGTCGGGAACCTAAAGTAATAGTGTTGTTCAAGTCCTCAAAATGCCAAACTCTTACCGGCGAATGAAATGTCATGTGTACGGACGGGTACACTAGACTGCATGTGTACTGCATGTATTTCGCCTGCATATTATTCGCCAAAAACTCGAGGTTAGCGATCGTTGCTTCTTCTTCAATCACCACGTCTACACGCAGGATGAGATCATGATATGAAATTTGAGTAGCGTAAATGCGGGGTGCTTGCATCAGCAAATTTTTGGCCACATGATCCAAATTAAGCTGGACTCCATCGATTGGGCACTGTTTAGTTGCTCAAATAAAAATAGGGAAATGACCAAGCGTAAAAGGTAAGTTCGAAATTTACCAAAGGTAGGCGAAAATAGGATTTGTTGCAGGCTGATTGAGGAGCTCGGATCAAAATGTTGACGCACTTTTATCGTTAGGCACAATACGTTGCATACTTCCTTACCACAACAATGCGTCAAAATAAATCTATGTATAATCAATTGCAATAAACATTGTTTTAGTTTTTTTGCTGAAAATCCCTGTCTAATGGTGTTCAAGAAATGGGAGTCAATAAAAAGATTATGTGTTGTCAATGTACAACAAAACATTTATTTGTCTAACATATTTTGAGATGATTGTGTGTTATCTGTCAGTATAATCAATACTCGACAGCCGCATTTCGATCGTAAATTTCGTGCAGCAGGTACTTACTCTTTGATCATATTCTGGATTTCAAATTCATTATCACTATCTCAATCTCCGCCATAATGTAAACAAATAGTTGTCAGCCATATTTGTGGAGGTTTCAATCAACTTAAATCACTTGAGCACATTTTGTAAGAGAAGACCCATTTTGATATTTATTTAATAAGTAAAACAAGCTAGCATTCTTCTCATACAATAGGACGGCATATTTGCCACATTGGCATATCGCACATATCAAGACAGCACTTTACTTACTTCCAAGCCATCTACATGCTCCTGCGGAGAGAAGAAATACTAGAAGTGGGCCGATGTGAGCGAACATTTGGTAACTGTGTCATGTGTAAACATTTATTTTCTTTTATAACCTTTGCAGACAATTGTGCGAAAACGATACAGTGGATGTGCTCACGTTTTGAGGCATATAAGTACATAGTTTATTACGAGGGAATTTTGACTAATCAAAATTGTGCCGATATTTGACTGTCACGCAGAGTATTAAGCATGTCGACTTAACATTCCTGGTTTACTTGTCCTCCTCAACCATACAGAGACAAAATCAAGATCGTTTGTTCATCACACGGATACATGGCTCAGAACAATTTTGTTGCGATTGATTGTGTAGCGATGTTCGTCACACAGGCCCATTAAAATGCTCTTAATTCCAAGTGCTACACATTTTAATCTTTATAAATTGGCATGAACCTCAACTTTATGCACGGTGCATTAAGGTTTCCTTCAGGACTTAAGAATGTATTTCAGTTAGGCGCTAAACCAGATGCGCCTAGATGATATCACGAAGAAATTAGCGCGCTGTCACTGGGACACTACATGAATTGTCCTAAGCTTTCAGTGTCGTACAGGAGGGCACCAGCCGAGCCTGTGAGTGTGCAACATAAAATAGAAAAAGGTGGAAGGAGCGTACAGATGGAGGAGGTAGTCTTTTCGATTTGTTTGAGCGACTGGCACTATTTTAAATTTTGAACATAAAGAAAGATGCATTTTTACGAGTGAGTTTCTGCTTATACCTAATTAAGAAGTGGAACAGCCAAAATCTTGCGGCTTAATCGAGGTGACGTTGTGCAAATGGGAATGCTTAAATGAGTTGATAATCGCAAAATGTGCTCGTCATTTAAGGAAAAATAGCGAAACTACTGTACTATAAACAACAAACCAAATTATTTAGTTTGCTTTTTAAATATGCGAAAATGTTTAAGCAGGTGAAAAAGGTGGTCAGATGATTTTAAATTTTAAATAACCTTTATAATGTAGAAGGTTATATTGCGCTGACAGCCGTGAAGGATATAAACCGTTAAATAGCTTTAAAAAAATGACATATAGAGAAAATTTTAAATAATTAAAGGAATATTCGCCGTTGGAGTATGTTATGGCCGTTCATTGTTTTGACAAGGAGGTTGCATGTTTGGCCAAGTGTATCAACGCAACCCGAAGAAGCATCTACATCCAAATTGGACTCCCAACCAATCGCTAAATCGTTTAATGAATTTGTCACTCTGAGTCCATTCTTATACCTATTCATGTCCTAGCAAGATTGTATTTATGATGAATTGTATTTAAGTGCAGTTCGGTCCAACGTGGCTTTAGAGACTCTGACTTTACAATGCACTGTTCTAAATTTTGGCGAGAAATCATCCATACTTGTGTGGTTGCCCAGTAAAAAATATTTACATCCCGGTAATATTTAATCTGTATATCCCCTGTTGTGGGATAGGACCTATTAACACATTCGCTATAGTTTAGCTAACAACTTAGAATTCGAACCTGTTAATTTTTCTTTAGCCTTTTGCGTGAATTTTAAGAAAATTCGTTCCTCATAAACTTTGCATATACCTTAACCAAAATTTGCCCAAAATGTAAGCTCAAAACGGAAACATAAATCACAGTTCGGGTTGATGGTCAGGCAAAAGTTGACCCACAGCCTTTCCCTATATCATAAATCAAATTTCCCCTGATGACCTACTTCAAACCTGATATACGGCGTCTCATTTTGCGCAATACTTGTGGCTTTTTAATTATATGTCGTCGAAAGGGGCTTTAAGCGGTAGTTCAAACGCGTAATAGAAAGGCCGACATCAGACCCTGAAAGCATAATTTAAAATGTCATGTCCCGATAGGCATTCATACACTGCAAAAGCCTCTGTCAGTTTGCTTTACTGCCCTCACTCAAATGACCGGCTCAATGACTAAGGGCACAGAAAAGATTAATGTAAAATTATAGACGACGACTCCAAACTGATGGGAAAGCGTTTGTTTCAAGGGTTTCTCTTATATTGAAGAAGCCTGTCGAATTGACTGAATTAGAGTTTTTATTACGTGCACATGGAACAGGAAATAATATTTTACCTTCAATATTCGTCTTTCAAGACATATTCTTATTAATTATCTTGAAAATGTTGGCCTGATTACTAAGTGGTTACTGACTTAGTACATATATAGGCAGTTAACCGAATCAAAAAACTCGTAGAACAATGACTTGTCCGATAAGTCAAATGCATTCAAACACTCCATTCAGTGATGCGAATATCAAAAGAAAGTACTAATAAACGCATCCAGTAATTCGTAGTTTTTGCCTTGTTCTCCTTCAGTGCACTTTTCAGCGTAACGTCTACAGGGACACCGTCACCTTCATGATCAAAGGACAAAGGAGCAAGATGAATATGATTGCATGGACGAGCAGATGTGGATGCTCGTCTGTAAACCAAGTCATAACAACTAGTTTTCGGCGAATTTCCATCAACGAGTGCATTGCAGCAAAGACAGAATTACTTGCCGATGACTATAAGTAATATAAGCACGGTTTCAAATGCTTAAAGTGTATAGAATTAATGTATCCTATAGAACATAAGCGTATCATTACACCATCATCACACGCTCACAAACTGAGAATGAAAACTACCTATGGATATATGCTTGCGGTGGCCCGATATTCACTAAAAACAACGGTTATCCCACAGATTCTAAATCAAAAGCTAATTTTTGTAATTAATCCCCCTAAAAACAAATAGTTACATAGCCAGAAGTTTGACGATCTGACGCGAAAGTCGGTATAGGTATCGCCGCACCATTAGTTAAATACCCTGTGTTATATGTCTTAATTTCCACTTGATCGAAGAATGGCTTTGTCACACAGACAATTATATGACCTATTCATTTGTTTTCGTGGCCAAAAAAATGTCATGGGTGCTTAGTTTTTCCGAGTCGTGCAGTCAAGTAAGAAATTCGATAGTTTAAACGTCGTGTGCTCTACAATAGGGTGAGATTAAGCACCATGATTTTCGGGTGCATCGGATTTTAATGAAAGTGGACATGAGTTCCATACGCACTTTCTCTTCCTGCCCATCTGGGTCAGGTGTCAAGACATATGTAGTCAAAAGGACCAGAATTTGGAGAGGATCGCCTGTAGGCCTACCACGACATCCCCTGGTCCACAAGAAAACATTTAACCAGCGTCTTAGCCAAGCTTTAATATTGGAGCAGCACAAACCCCTTTTGCCGCGACGTGTGCCGGCAACTGGGTCTGGCGCCGCACTCCCTATGCCGACATTTGTTGTGAGTGTTTTTTCTAGATAATCCCTTTCAGATTTCAATATGGCCTCCTTAGTGTTCAATTGGATCTTTTGCGTCGCCTATTTGCGTACAGAGAAAGGTGATTCACCTCAAGAATTTTAATTTAAGGAGGGACGAATATCTTTATAAAGCAACTGTTTTTAATCAATGTTTGACTGAATTACGGAACTTGGTAGTCAGGTATTACTGCATTTTCAAACGATTTCTTGTTCATGAAGTATTCTTTTTGCAAAAATATGTCACCAGAGTCAAGAGAAATGCAGTAACAAATGTAGCAGATGTCCAGATTCCATAAGCATTCATAAGCCATAGGCATCACCATTACATATTAAGACAGTTGTTGGTTGGTGGATGAACGGACTACTTGACGAAGAATTATGGAAGAATTTCAATCAGAGCCCTAGGTCATACTGGTAGATGATAACGTTATAATATCCAGAGCAACTCGTTCAGCATGTACCAGTAGTGCCAAAGAGCAGGCAATTGGTTGTAAATATTTAGGACCAAAATGAGCAAATGTTTATGGGTGGAGGGATTTTAACCACAACCCGGCGTCAGGAATATTGGACTCCATGAAAGAGTGCTTATCAGGTGTGTTTAAGCAGGGGCTATCTGAGAACAAGGTTAAGGAAGAAAGCGGGAGACACGATCCGGTCAGGCAGTTGTTGATCCACGGAACACTTTGAGGTGCTTTTCTACTTTACTCATAGACACGTGGTTGTAGGGACTACATGACGTACAATGGTCGAAGAATTAAGGGGAGAACCCTGAGTCATAGAGAACTGCGGTTGCGCATGATCGGCAGACGGCGATTGCCTTAATCTCTTCTGTCTCTGTAGGTACCTCCATCTTCTGTATGAGGGTTCGACCGTCGCTAACGACGGCGTCAACCTTGTGCCCCACTGAGTGGGCGCAGTACGGATGACTGGCGCGTGAACTATCTTATAGTAAGACATACCTGCGCGGTACGTACAGCACTATATTCTCCCTATCTTCAGACTAAGATGGCAAGAGCATAGCGAGATGATCAGAGGTAGGTTTGAGCACAGGGATTGAAAAAGTTGAACTGGTCTATCCAAGTATACTGTAGAACATTTTCACAGAAATTGGAGCTCGAATTACACGTTCGTGAGGGTGGTATGGCGGCCATATTAAGATGCATCCACTAAGCATGGTCATGCGTCCTCGAGCCAGTCCATTCAAAAGCTCATTGCGCTAATTATGCAAATTAGGTTATTCGGTCATCAGTGCATCCGTTTACAAATGTCCGCTTTATTATCTGCAACAATGTATCATAATTGTGTTAGGATAAATTTCTCGTTGCGAACCTCAATATCCCTTTCCCACAAATATGTCGTCATGGTGTGAAAGCCTCTTGGTTGCAAGATTTCAAAACGTGATTTTTTTATCTTAAAAACAGAATTTTATCAGGGCATATGTTGTTTTCAAATGAATGAGTGAATGACGTATATGTATGTGCTTTCCATATCATGCACCCAAACTTAAACGACCATAGAAAATATGCTGAAAAGCATTGCACATCAATTATCCTTTAGTCGAGCGCTGTTTTGCAGGCGATTGAAAAGAAGCAAATTAGAATATTGGAATCCCGACGTGACTGGAACAAGTCAGGATTATGCTGCAAGGTAATCAATGTTAAAACACTTTGAAGTCCTCCTCCGAAGTCGAAAACATTTTTTCCTTGTTACACTAATTTAAGAAGTTAAATACCGCAGACTTGTATTCGGCATTTCTAATGCGTTAAACGGCTGGTTCTTTAATGTGACATGTTCAGTTTTCTTTCTGGATACCTTACACACTTTGACCTTTAAGCGATATTTAAGTGTATTGTTTGGAGAAACTGCCCAGAGTGTGTTAATCATTATCTATGTAACAGCATGCAAGAATGTATGAATATGGTAGAGGACAAGGTTTTGCATGGACAATTTACCTTATATAATATAGCAATCACTTTCGCCATATTTTAAACATGTTTTATAACAAACGTATTTAGAAACCTACTTCGCACATATAGTAATTAATTTGTTAGAAGAGGCAGTAACGATAAATAGAATGTGTCCAACAAAGAACATCTGATGGCCTTTTAGAAATATTTATTGACGGCCCGAAACAGTCACTTTAACGATTGCTTTTTTGTTTATTAAAAAAAATTGTTGAGTCATGACTTCCTTACTCCTTTTGATAACACGAGGATTTAAAACGAATGTTCAGTGCGTTGTGCCCATTTCTGTAAAAGCAATAACATCTTTTAAAAGCGTCATTTTTATCCATTAAGACTTTGCGCTATTGAAGTATTCATTCGTAGTTCTCATCAACCCAGGCGCACTCTTCTATCTCCCTTATGTAATTAATTGCAGTGGTTATAAAGGCAAGAATGACTGACAACTCATGGTAGATTGGCTTCATGTGCAGTTTACCGTTTTTGATACTGTCTGTAGAAGCATAAGGGTGGTCTGAACGTAAGAAACGCACTCCACTTATATATGCAATAGGACGTTTCTAAAGTTACTGCCCGTATACTAGGAACAAATATTCGCTATCTTTACCCGTATAACAATGATTAAGTAGTATTTTTTGCTTGTAATTATCAGGAAATGGTTTTGGCCTAATATAGTTTCTCCAAATATACATAAACTCTTCTTGTGTACATTATGTCACAACTTGTTAAATTAACCACAAAGACGCAGTCCACACAATGTTCAGACTGTAACAACGGGCGCTCCACAAAAATGACTGCATGCGATTTTTAATCATTAATTCGACTTAGACGACATAAACATATCCAAAAATATGAAAAACAAACCAAATTTGTTAAATTACCAGAAAAAATAAATGTTTTATGGACTTTACCTATTAGTAAATATCCGACAGAAGGTTTCAACAAAAATATCACGCCGACCTTTGTTTTGGTGAAGTATCTACAAAGATATATTAAAAAGTTACTATTCAGGCATCATTTTTGTATCACACGAGCATGGAAAAAGCGAGTAATCCCATAGAAGAACGACGTGAATATTTTTGCCTGAAAAGGGTGGGCAAGACACCTTATCAATGCTGTCCTGTGATTTCGTAAGGATAGGATCAAGGCAGTTGGCCTGTTGTGTGTGAAGCATGACGTGTGAAGTGAGAAATGACTTTAGTGCCGTGTTCAGAAAACTGCTATTGAAGGTCTGTTCCGAACTATTTGCATGGGTCGAGCTCCAGTCAATATGAGGCGCGTTAAAGTCGCCCATGATCAGGATATCCGGTCGCGTAGCGAACATTTCGAGCTCCTTCAGCAGGCAATCGTCGGCCATGTTGTCCCGTCTCGGCGGTAGATAAACTGTCAGGACATCGAGGCTAGGCGAACTCGGCACTTAAATAGACAGTCAGATTGTCTCGGAAGTGCATGGAAAGTTATCGGTTTTGTTTGAAACATTTATCCTATTTTTCACATACGTGATTACGCCTCCCCCCTGACGCCCTTCCCTATTACCTCTAAACTCTCGTTCGTCCACGTGCTGGGTCAACAAGGTTTCTGTTAAAGAGATTACGCCACGGGATAAATAGCAGACGTGAATCTTCAGTCCGTCGAACTTTGATAGCAAACTCTGCACTTTGTCGTAAAGAATTTTAAATTCATTCTGACGGAAGATGTGGTTACATAGTGGATAGCCCCTTCATTTAATGCAGATGTCTTGTCAATATCTAAATTCCAATTCGCAGCACTGTTTGTTTTTGTTTACTGAAGTACAATATTAACGTCCATAGGTAATCGTTTGATTAAGCCGACCCACGGTGTCTTAGCCTTTTTAAAAGTGTCACTGTTGACTGTCATTACATTATGATTGGGACATAAAGAATGATTTTTTTGTTTGATCTGGTTTCTGCTTATACGTTATTTAGGAGCGTAACATGGAAAAGCTTACGGTTTGACCAAAATGTAAGTAATAATGCCTGTGCGTATTTTTATGCGAAAAATAGACTCTAATACCACGCGAAGATAGTAAAAACCAATTGCTTTTTTTAATAAGAGACAAATTGTAAATATGAAAGGCACATGGAAAACGCAAAAAGCGACAATTCTTTACTTGGCTTTAGGTTGTTGAAGGGTAAAGCATGTTGTCATTCCTCAGACGAATAAACTTTTATAGAACTTCAGAAAACGTTACTGATAGAGAAACGTTGTAAATTAGTCAATATCATTCTTCGCCATGACATGTGTTATTTGAAGTTTGTTTTTTTCGGCAAGGAGGTTTTGTGTGTGGGCGAGTCTATCAGCGCGATCCAAACAACAGTCTTCACAAAAAGCCCATCTACGCGGTCTCTTCCACGGTAAATGACTCCATTTAGCATCTAATTTCTTGCTTTCTGATAAATAATAGCATAAAATCTATTTTTATGACCAACTATTCAAAAAACTCAAAATTTTTGGAGAATCGAAAAAACGCAGATGATTGCATGAAAAGTCATAAAGTTATAAACTGTTGCCGTCACAGAGTCCGCAAACACAAAAAATTCGGTAATTTCAAAATGCCGCCTTTGGGGGCATGCAGTATTGCCATATTCTTTAACAGTTAGACGCGTCACCTTTTCGTCCTTGAGGAAGGCTTCCGTCCCTATTTTGTACACACAGGAGCTCCTACCAAACCGATAGTATACGCATTGAAAATAGGTTTTTATTTGAACATTTTTATAACTTGAATCGGAATGAACCCATGCAAACGATTCCACTGCAATTGCGAAACAACCAGTGCTTTACATTTTGCGTTAGCCCTTTACGCAAACTGCCGTTTTTACTAAGGTCATTTGAACTAACTGAATATTTAAAGAAGAACAGTAAAAACAAAGTTTATGATATGTTTCCAAGTTGCCTATACTCTATCGCGCTGTTTTTATCTATCTGAAGACACCTATTTTGCACAAGTGACCGTAAATTATTTGGTGGCATGGCGCTGTCCTAAACAAACTCAAGCGATCGACAATGATAGTAGTAGTTACATCAGCTACGTGGGGGGACGATGAGTAACGATCATTCTCCCTCATACTTAAAACAGCTTGTGCTGATTTCATTGCCTCCTGTCCACTTTAATAAATGGAATTTATTCCAGCATGTTACCGTAAAGAAATAAGCATGCCATGTCGTCTGATACTGCGAAAAGTGTGAGTTAATAGATTTTGACCACACAAAAAGTTCTTCGTTTTATTTTCTCAAAAACACGGCCTGTAAAACGAAAACGCGACTATCAGCGTCAATGTATCATCAAGCTGCGTTTTTATGGGCACTTTGTTCCCTCGAAATTTAATTGCATACGAACCAGGAAAGTGTATACTTTAAGTCCAATAATAGAAAGGTTTATTTATCCCAAATCTTCAATACGCCACCTGACTGTCCACACAAACCCAGTCGCAAATAGTTCACTGGGTGTAAATTGCTGAACCATAATTAAAATACGATGGTTAAAAGGGAAATATGCATTAGAATGCACTAATTCAACTTAAATGGACATACACAGTCCAATATTCCGTGAAACATTTTGAAAGTAACAATTTATAAAGGTCAAAAAATTACTTTAGTAGGATTGTGACAGCAAGCGCCGTGCAGCAGACTTTAATAATTATTTAGTTACTTAAGTGTGCCGACTTTACGTATACGTCTTTTGGCCGAATGCAAAAGCTAAAGCGGGTTAATATGACTATCTACTTAGCATAACGCTTTCTTAATGACTTTTCATGCCTTGATAGGTTTAAATATACTTTGTGGAATAGATTTGTAATAACGTTCATTCTTTTATTAATGTGGTAGACCATCACGTCTTCTTTAAGTATTTAACCTGACGTAAGCGTAATATTCAGATTTAAAAAATTCCACGACTATCTGTCTAGGGTTACCAAAGGCGTGATATGTTTAACTCCGCACGTCGACCACGCCGAAAACAGAAAGTCGACAAATCATTGTATTCTTGGTCTCATAAGAGAATTCACTTGATCAATTTGTCGATCCGGCGGCGACGTACAGATGCCTGTGCACACACTTGCGTCCTTGGATCGTTGCTGGATGACTGGCCTTCATACCATACAGTCGTCGTTTTTTCTGTTGCTGCCGTTATCTCATTTTCGAAACTTCAAAACAAATGAAAATGTCGTATGATGCCCGACCAGTCCTCTTCACGGATTGCTTAATTTAGTCAACCACTGTGTCGAAATCTAAATTAGGTTTCATTACGTAAGGTGATACTATACTGCGGGACCAAGTAACGAGCCGAACCACTCGCCGGTGCCCCATGCAGCGGCATAATCTCGGCGAAACACGTGTAAAAGGCTTCTGAGTAGCACCTGCCCTTAGCGTATGCTATCACCTTACCCGAAAGTGTACTATTAGCTGCCTGTTGGCAGTTACTGAATATTACGCGGTTACCAGCCTTGGCTGATGGAATTCGGCCCAACAATTTATACATAAACTGCTCGGTCTGGGCCTATGGACCTTGAATAAACTGATCAGTTTCGAGTTCGTAGTCAATCTATCAGGAATTAAATAGCCGATAATAACTTTTACGACTTAAAGTTATAGTGTGTAAGCCCATTGGCATAATAAAAAAATTTATTTGTTGCCAACTTTACAGCTCTCATAGCCCGATGAGTAGTCCATTTGACGCATTGTACAAATTGCGACAAATGCTAAGTGGTCTACTTTATAAAAGTTGCTTTATATGCTGAAATGGGTTTTAGGAACGTAGGAGTTACTTAGGTGAGTCTAAAGTCTAAACTATCCTGCAGGGTGATAACAAAGTATTTTGGCCAAACTAACATTTTAGACTTTAGATGATATTTTTAAATGCGAAAAACGACGCCTAGTTGGGAATGACTATTTTTTAGCAAAGAGACATTAAATTATCTTAAATGTATCTAAAAAGTTGGATTCAGTTTAATGGGGACATCCAAAACACATGATTTAATTAACGATGAAATATAAGTTAAATAACGACAAACTCATACTACACAAGTAGTTATAACAATGGACTGTGATTTATGTAGCCAGCAGGGTAGAAGCTCAATTAAAGCGGATAACGCTGTGTGACTCGTGCATTTTGGAATTATGCCGAAGGGCATTAAGTGTTACAGCATCACCTAGGACTAACTTTCTAATTGAAAGCATGTTTGTTATTTCGGGTTGTTTTTGTCGATATGAGCCAGTGCTTGCCCATCCCGTAGTACCCAACAAATGTCTAGCAGCTTGTGTTGCAAATTAGACTTTTTGGCCAAAACTTGCACAAATGTAATCAGTGTGTGCCATTTTGCCGCACTGTCACCAGAACATAATAAAAATTTACTCTCATTTCTTAGTCGCAAAGTGCAGTCTTATACTGATTTACAGTCTACCCTATGTGTTCATTATTTACATTATTGACTGAAATTAACCTTTTTATCAAGATGGTCATAAACTCAGTTCACAAAAGTGTTACGAAGTTTCCATTTGCGTTCAAAAATGCTTTCCTCAACTTAGTCATATCCTATATAGTTGCTTCCAGATTATTGTTTCAAAACATGTTTTTAATAATTGCAGACACTATAGGAGTCGCTTTTTTACACATTTTCCAAATGTTGGACGCTGTCAGAATGCATTGAACTAACATGGTTTGAAACTCGTCACGTACACCATTCCGGTATGTGTCCGAGTGAAACGGTGTACATTTAACGAACTGTAATTGCGACTTCCTGCAAATATTTCATTTCGTACTAAGAAATAAAGTAAAACTTACGAACCCTTTTACATGCATTTTAACCCAGAGCGCGTGAAAGTATAGCACAGCCTAAACTAGCCTCCTTCCTAATGTTCCACTGGGCAAGAGTTTGCTACTACTAGACCCAAATATAATGGTAAAAATATAAAGGTTTTTCCAAGTCTTACTTCGCTGCATACGCCAAGACGAGGACGAGACGGTCACACGGAGCTTAATGATGGCGAGCAAACACGGCCCATTAACGAATTCACCGAAAAGAAGGGGGGCATACACGCACGCGAGCCAATTTGAGCTGACGACACGCAACACAGAAGGCTACCAAAACTCACATCAGTTAGTCAGGTGGCCAGGGCAGAGAAATGAGGAAAAATCGATGGGTTCAAGGCCAAATTGGTCAGCAGTCTATTTAAAATTCTCGCTAATTTTTGTTCTAAAGGCCTTGATAATGTAGAACCCGCTGAGTTTTCATAAACGACAGCAATGCAATTCTTTTCATCCGGTGAATACCTCATTTTCTTATACAAACTTAATGGGGTAAAATCAAACTGAAAAAGCCAAGGCCATTTTTGACAACACCCGACATTTTGCCCGTCGTAGGTGACGATGTTCGACGTGTGCTCCAAGACAGGGTGAATGCAGTTGCGGGGATGAACGCTTGCTTTCTTTTAAAGTGCTTGTAGACTTGTTCACGCTCCAACGCCACTCTCACCTCTTACATCGGCTCGGCCACATGTCAAGACGTTGCCAAGAAGACCGGACGCAGTTGACTGACTCGGCATAAACCCGTACCTAGGTTTCCCACAACACCGCGTTGTCGAAACCAAACACTTGATCAGGATTTCTACTAACAACAGTGGTAGAGTGTGTACGACAGAGATTCCAATTTGCGCGATGGGTGCCGGTAAATAAAAAAATTGTTACCGATGTACAGCGGCAATAACGCCAGCCAGATTCCACGGTGGCTTTGTGATGGCCCAGCAACTCAGGTGAGTGAAATAATGGAGTCGCCACAATAGTTTTGAAAATAATGGCTGTAGTTTCACTTATTTATTAAACTATTTAAAAAGGCCTTCCTGACCTAGTTTGATGTAAATACAAAAGAAAAAGTCACGTTATATCCTACATGCTATGCAGTTAACCCCATGGCATCTCCAAGGCAATTCGACTAATTCAGTTAGATCAGCATCTCAATTCATCATATACATCCGAGGTCGAAGGGTTCAATCGGACGAAATCATGGTCTCCTTCGATGTGACGTCGTTATTCACATCCATCACACCAGACCTGCCCCCCAAGTCTTGCTCAATAGACTTGAAGAGGGGTAAAATGAGACTCAGAATGCACTCAAAACTGAACACCTCATTAGGCCGTTTGAATTCTATCAACAAACTTTCTTCACTTTAGCGGGAGAGACCTATGTACAAATCAAGGGGACACCAATGGACTCACCTGTTTCCGGTTTAGTGGCAGACTTTGTCCTACAGGAGTTAGAAACGATTGCCTTCATCCAATATCAGCCGGTATATTTGCGTCTTTAAGTAGATGACACGTTCGTTATCGTAAAGAAGGATATGTTGCAACATTTCCACAGCCTGCTCAACGCAGTCTTCCCTGATATAAAATTCACGAGGGAAGAAGAACAGGAACAGCGGTTGCCCTTCCTGGGTGTGCTTGTCAGACGAAATCTTAACGGTGAATTTAAAACGATGGTTTATAGGAAGACAACGAACACCACACAACTTCTCACTGTTCACGTTTCTTAAACGGATCCAAACTCATTGCAGCAAACCGGAGGACATAGCACGTGAGGCCCGTTATCTCCGAGAACAGTTTGTGCTAAATGACTATCTGATGACATTCATAAGTCGCTGCCTACGCGGTCGCCACCAGAGGACTCGAAAATCAACAACACCGACGATATGGCGTTCTTTGCCATACATGAAGGATGTTTCAGAAGCGACCGAGCGCATTGCAGCGGAGCTAGGCGTTGAAATTGCACACAGCCCCCAAACCACCATGCTCAATAGGGTCATGAAAATTAAAGACCGGTTAAAGCCTGAAGAGAAATCTGGAGTGGTGCACCGCATCCAGTGTCCAAACTGTCCGTGTAACTACAAAGGGCAGACCGGGCGCATGCTCGGATCACGCGTGCGCGAACATAAGCTGACTGTGCGATGAGGCGACGCATTATCACAAGTGGCCGCCCACACTCACGAAACTTCGCAGCCACATAAATAGTCGCCCACGCCGAAAAAAACAGGCCGAGAATTGTTTGAAGCCTGGGCCTCAGATAAGAACGCGATTAATCGCTTTATCCATCTGGCGCCGGCGTAAAGAGCCCTGCGATGTCAAATCCAGTCTGGCGCCGTCGGTCGATGATTGACCTGCATGCCTTATAACTGTCACTTGTTCTGTTTCTGTTACTAATTCTGACGATGGACTCCTGCATGAGTCACAAAGCTCAGGACAATAAACGAAGGGTTCCTGTGCTCGACTCTTCTTTACGTATGCATACACCCGGAACTGGAAATCTCGCCTTCATTCGTGAAGTCAACTCGTCCACAGGAAACGGACAGTAAAATAATTTCGGCGAATAATAGCTACGAGATATGTAGGCTGTTTGGTCTATCAAAAAAGCGATCGAAAACGTGCGACCTCCCTGCTAGCAGGACATGCACAGCCGTGTTCCTTTACACTATTTGTTTTCCAAAAATGCCATATAAATCAACGATAACAAATGTCGATCGAAACCGTCTATAAATATTTTCGCGTGCCATAACTGCCATCGCGAGCCAAATTATTTGCTTTGGCTCATTTATACACAAACGTTTCGAACAAGAAGCCGACAAAATGTGTACATTTAAATACTCCAAAACACAAGACAACACCTAGGCTGTCAAAGTGTGTCATAATTTCAGTTGCAGCAACAGCAGAGCAATACAAAATCCGAGGTAGTGATGTTATATGTTGCAATAAAAAGGTCCCCCATTCATTATTGTTTGCTGCAATATTTTTTGCAACTTTGTTGTGTCCACTTTAAATCGTTCTGGAAATTCGAATTCATTCTGTAGTCTTTGAAGAATAGCATGGGACGCATCTAGTCTGGACAACCGGATCACACGTGGCAATGGATTCTCCTCTCCCCAGTATGAATAGTCCACCAACGTCCTCACGTAGACGTCACGTAACCTATATTCGACACTCCAACAAAACAAATCTAAATGACTTCTCAGAATACGTAGGAATCCGGAATGAGTGAGACGTGCACACATGAAGGTCACCATAGGTGTATGCTTGGGAACCTAAAGACAGTGTTGTGTGAATCGTGAGAATATTTAACTTTTACCGGCGATCGAAATGTAATGTGTATGGACGGGTATACTGAAATGCATGTGTACTGCATATATTTCGCCTGCCATATGTTTTTCGAAAACTCACAATCAGTAATAGTGGCTTCTTCTTCAAGTACCACATCCATGTGCATTGTGAAGTTGAGATATACATTTTTGGCAATGTAAAGATGAGGTATTTGGATCAACAGTTGTTCAGCCACATGATCCAAATTAAGCTGAGGTCCACTAAGTGGACAGTGCTTGATTCCTTGAAGAATGATTAAGAACTTGTTAATGGGATAAGTAAGTCTAAATGGCACATTATAATGCGGAAATGTGATTGCTGGGAAGCTGATATAATGCCATTGGCGAGAACTACACATTTTTATTTTGGCTACCACGCATTTGCATCTCATAATGGCTTATTCTTCTGATTTGGAAGATATCCACAAAAAGTGCATTCTCAGGGTATATGCAAAAATACACACGTAAACAATTATTGAAACGAAAAATGATCCACAATTCCTTTTGAAATAATCGCTCTTGTTCTGTTAAATAAAACCGTAGTCGAGGAACGCCGACGTGTTTTCTGTTTCTTAACCTAACTTGGTTTCTACAATATATGTTGAGATTTTCCATGTAATCCATATGCTAACTCAATGAGTAGCAAACACGCTTAACTCTAAATATTGAGGCACAAGTCATACCTGCTTAATTAGTATATAGAGTATATAGAATATACAATAGGGTTTTCAAAGGCATTGCCTGTTACTCTTAAAATATACTGACCTATACTGCTCTATATTCATGATTAATCTAACAGTGTTTCACCTTTTATGAACATGCGGCTTCCAGATATATGCGCAATAGATATGTCGGACTAAAATAGTCTGACGAAGATTATTTACAACTATCGGCCCAACCTAATTTTTTACTGCCAAATAAACACGTGCATTTCTTCAATGCTATAGGGCAGGACATTTGGAAATATTATCATGGCGCATGCATTAATGAAGTACCGTACTTACGTTCAGGCCGACTACATGCTTCTATAGAAAATACTAAGGACAGGACAGAGCAGGTCAGAGTGTTCATGCAAGAAATCTACTTTGATTTGCCAACGATGCTAGCATTTATTGCCTTTTCAACCAGTTACATGAGAGATATAAAACAGCTACGCACACATTGGTTAGGCATATTTTTATATATTATTACACCGCCAGTTTTTTTGAGATACAACATTCACACTTACACACTACAGTAATACTTTCAGAGAAGCCTGGGTAGCACACGGAAGAGTTATCCAATGTCGTATTTTGATATGCGTGTCATTTAAAATATGCGTGCTGCTCAGGGTGGTAGGAAACACAAGATGTAGCTTTTTTGGTTTATTTGCCGTCCTCAGGCAGCCGGAACTCAATCCAAGGTCATGTGTTTATCATGCGAATGGAAGGCTAATTAGAGCATTGATAAAGAACTGTCCGACCAAACGGGATTTCAGCGCCTCTCTCTTCAACCACTGCTATTTCTGAATCTACGACTTTGGACATGGGGCTGAAAGACTGCAGCGAAATTTTAGACTTTCCTCCAGAAATCACGTATGCATTTTACTTAACCTACAATCGAAATGTTCACGGGTGCTATTGCAAAGAGGGAAGTTGCACGACCCCAGGGCATATTAGCCTGAGCACAAAGTCTCGTATAGGAGGTCATAGTCAGAACGCATATCCGCTGTTTTGTTTGTAGGTCTGCACTTTCCTCCGCAATCTCAAAATTATTCTTAAACGTTATGCAAACCCCACCAATGTATTTACGTAAAACATTCTATGTACTTGTTATTTTTTCTGCACAATTCCTGCTATAAATGCTCTTTTAGTAAATATGCTTTCTGTCCACCCTTTCTGCACTGTTTGGATGATACCAGACTTCTGGTTGTCTCGCTGTGTTATTTTCATCAGGTCCTGAGGTTTGGACGAATACAGTGTTTTCAATGTCGCGCAACACAGTCCAGCCAAACAGTGCTTTGTGCGCAAGTAATCGGTGGTGCACCATCCCGGCGGCACGAGGTGCACGTCGTCGCTAGCAACGGATGAAGGTAGCAGTTTCTGGCTTTCTAGTCGTCGCCTGCCAGCCCTATTCAACTCCCGCTTCGTACTATCAAGAAGTTAAACCTGCAATGTTTTGTTATTGTGCACTAAGTGGTCTACTGATTTACATTTAAACCACATTATGGTAAGTGAGTTTGCTAACTGTCGGACATATGTTTAGATTTGGATGGCTAACAAGGGTTGCTATGCAACTGTCATTTTTGTTTTTTGCTGGCACACCTTTCATTATGAGATAATATCAATTGCCATCATTAATGGCAAAAACGGCAATATTAGTTTGTTTGGTTTTATCGTTGTGTGACCACGGAAAAAGATTACAAGCACTTAATATGTAACGCATTTATCTTGCCAGACTCGCATTATTACAATTTTTAACTCCTCCAAATAGACAAAAAATAGTGTTTTGCCTTGATTGTCGTTGCGCTCAACTGGGCGTTTGTGAAAGTGCTACTTTAGAGTGCACTGATCGCAGAAGCTTGGCGGCGTATATCCTACACTTTTGCAGCCGGTCCACTAAGGATATTTGTAGAGCAGCGTAATTAACTGCCCCGTACACTTTCATGTGGCAGAGGAGTATGCCCGCACAGTTGGATAAGTTTACTTTACAGTTGTGTGTCCTATGTTGCGGTTGAGGTTATCAGTTGTTTGCGTGTAAAAAAACCACACAATCCATGGCCTTGGCATGTAACTAGAACTGACTTTACTCCGACAACAAAGTTCAAAACCGACAAAGAGCGTCGCATTTTGGGTGTAAAATAGACAACTTGTTGATTGAAAGCACAAGAGAGGCGCTTACGGTGACAGTTTAAACGTGCGGCAGAAAAGCTGAGTACTAACTTTCAAGTACTCAGTTGAAAGCTCGTGTCCAGAAAAGGTGTGTATGTACTTCAGCTGTGACTGTCGGCTTGACTTTCTGTCCTCGCACAAACAACTGGCTCCTGGACTAAGAGTCTCGAAACAATTTAAGAAAGGAGCAGTAAAAAGCAAAACAAGAAACAAAGGCCCCACTGTCACAAATCTTCAAGAATGAAACTAGGGACATTGAAAATCTAAGCCTACATTTTCTTTTACATTCCTGTTGCATTACGAACCACTCATTTGTGCGATGCTTATGATTCCACCTCTGATATTGTGACAACATTATATGAAGGGTTCATTTAGTTTAGGTGTCCGTAAAATGCATCATTCGCCTGTTCCAGACGAGCATCCCTACATTGTCCACATTTCCGCTGTAAGTTATATCGAGTGCAACAGCAACTCACTTTTTCTACATTGTCCCGCTGATTAAAAGTCGTCTGACAGAGACCACTGAAAAGGTAGATTTCACGACACTCACAAAAGAAAAAAGAGGGAGAGTAATACAAACGCCTTGGTGAGTCAAAATTCACCCTAACTAATTCTCACGGATATGCGAAATAAGTGGAAAAGATCGCATTTGTCAGAACATTTGAGTGCCAGTCGCTCAAATGATCGATTTGCAAGATTATTTTGGACATAAAAAATGCCAACTTATGATTTTAAACGTTGCTGTAATTTTTCTCGTTTCTGCAAAATCGGAGGCGCAATTTTCTGTCAACGCTGTTTTGGGAAATTGTGTAAAAAATATGACAGAGTTTCTGGTCTTTAAGCTTGAATATATAGTATGTATATACAGGTCAAATCATTGGACGAACTAAAATAATCGTCGAAATGAAATCATATCCCTTAATTTGCAAACATGCACGTGGTCCTTCATCTGGCGGGTCTTCAGATATATAGGATAATCGCTTTCTAAGTCATCACAACATTATCTGAATCGGGATTCCTTAACAGCGTTTAAAGAGGTGTAGACAAGTTACAGATATGCTCGTCTCTATATGCCTTACGATTTAGACTTAGAGTCTACAGTCATATTCGTGCGCAAAGTTCGTATTTCAAATGCGGTTTGCAGTTTACACAAATTATCATTGCGCTTTTTTTCAGTAAAAGTAATGCAAAGGATTTACTAAGTATAATCAGTGTACATCAGTTCCTTGTCATAAGACGTTTGCTGACAATGTAAACACGATTGTTCATTTGATTTTAGAACGATATTAAAGCCAATGCCACTGCCGAATTTAAAGGGAACACATAAAGTCTCCGTGTTTGTCTTAAAGCGCTTGCAGAAAATGGTTGTACTGTATTACAAGTGGATTTTTCTGCCTGTCACATGAGGCAGGTATCTCTTAATACTTTAATTTGAATTAAACTGCTACTGCCGGGACAGACATTTCATGAATTGCATCTCCACTGACTATCGAAATATACGCGGTTTTACAAACATTCATCACAAAGCGCCCTAGAGTATAGAAGGATACTCGAGAAAAATTGACGAGTTTTGATTCTGTAGTCCAACTCGATTATATCGTATGATTGGCTTCGTTAAACAGTTTTAGTCCACACATTAATCTAACTCACTCACTGGCTTAGGAAGAGGAAGCACTTGCAAGCACAGTTTGAATCACGCACAGGGAATCGCGTGTGAACCGATTCGTGTTGTAACCGAAGGTACCATGTATATAATCTCCCGTGACACAAACCACCGCCCCGGATTAAGAGGATAGAGATAGTACAGTCGCAAGTCGAAGGCCGCGGATGGACCAATGTGTTAGTTTAGTACCTGGCCACTTAAGGGCAACCGACGGAGATTCAGACCATTCAAAGAATGCCATTGGCAAGCCTACTTAAGCAATCGCTGGACAAAGATAATAAAGAGGACTCAAACCGGTCTCGAAGTACGTGCGCGTAAGCGCTCATGAACTGGCACCTGATGTAATCACGGATGCCGCTTTGGTACTCCCCCAGCGAGGCACAGTCTATTGTCGGATTAAAAACAGCAAGAAATGGGCAAACACGTGATATGTGGAAAGTCGGCGTAATCGCACATACTAAAATTGCTTTAAGAAATTATATTGTACCAGTCACGTTCGGCTGCATGGTCAGAACTTTCCGATAAATCTTTAAGGCATATTTACGATTAATTATTTTTTATGTTTAATGTAAATATAAAAACAAAACGTGCCTTT